CCCCAAAATATGTGATTCTAACATAACCCTCTGCAGGATGGCATTAGGAGGGCTCCAGAGGAAGACAGGGGCACCAGTGGCCGTGGCTGTGGGAAAGGAGCCTGGTGGGACACAGGAGCTTTCTCTGGGGCTGAAAGGGGACTTTTGCTGAGCTATTGCACAGCTCTAGTGCACAGAGAGCATCCGCTGCAGTGGGTCAGGGGAGAAAGGGATTGTTCCCACTGTTTCTTGACAGCCTCCCTTTCTTGAGGAAGGACCAAAAGCTGCTGAGATGACAAAGGAGCATCTCTGAGTGGGCAGCCCCATGGGATTTTCTCAGTGCCTTTCGGCAGAAAAGAAACCATAGCAGAGCTGTTCCAATTAACTTCTGTAGATAATGACGGACTTGCCATACTGCCCAAGACTGGATATTTGAAACAAAACAAATCACTTTGAGCGTGGAAGTGAGTGAAATGTTACAGGATTTTCCTTTCTCTTGCCATTGCTTAGGTGTCCTTCAAGGGATGGGGCCATTAAGGAATGCCACAATACATTTTTGTTAAGTTTCTCTGTCTAAGTAATTATGAGTTGCCACTGCAGTATGGGAGTGACTGGGAACAAAATGACCACAAACGTCACTAAATCAGGTATCACCCTTCCTTCTCTGTTGAGAGAATGGTCTTCACAAGAGTTTATGTGGCTAGTTTGTACTTTTATTGCAAACTTTCAAGCTGCCACCAGTAACTTCGATCTTATAAAGAATGGAGTGTTCTGGCCTTGATCCAGGAAAACACTTAAGCACATTGTAGAGTGCTTTGCTGGATCAGGTCCAGAGCAGAGCAACATGTAGTAGTAGAGGTTCAACAGTAGGGGCTTTCTCTATTTTTTTGGGTGCTTATGAATGAATCTCCACATACATGATTGCAGTGTGGGTAGTATGAAACAGAACAATAGTTAGATCCCTAAAAAGAAAGGTTAAAGCATGAACAGCATGACAATTTTTTTTTGGTAAAAACCTAATAAAACCTCCATGAGAACATTCTCCTTGATGAAGCAGTACAGTGATTGATGGAGAAAACAGCAGGTAGATGTCATCCCAGAGTTTCTCATCCAAAGCAGAGCTCTACTGTACCAGGTGCTGCTTGTTTGAACAAACTCTGGTTTTCCCAGGTTACTTGTAGGTGACGTTTGTGGGTAAATAACCTGTGCCAAATGACTTATTTGATAATCTTGGAAAATACTTAAAAATGTCTTACAATTATCTTAATTATTTAGGGACACACGTGAATTCAGAATGTTGTTTCAGGAAATAATTATTTGTCTGTACTTTGCACTAAAGCAGCCTGTCTGGGCCTTTTGAGAAATGCTAGGTGGTTTTGTTAGGTTTGGTTGAAATCAAAAAGAAGTATGCTGCTTCTCATTGACTAGATGAATTAGGTCAGAAATATGCTTGTGATGGGAAATAAAATCCAAATCAGTCCTCCGAGTCTCTATTTAAATCCATGCCGTGCTATTTGAAGAGAGTAGAAATGAGTTAGTTGTGATGGATTCCCACAAAAAGAGGGAGAATTTAAAGAACAAATGGGAACATAAAGAAATGAAATTAAACATCAGGTTATTGTATTTTACTTCATCAGTGTTAAAACAGCAGTTGTCAGGTGGCTGTCCCTTCACTCCAGGATACCAGGCATATGTAATGGAGGCTTTGCCTTTGTAGAAAGGATGATGACGGATTAGTGCTTAGATGCTGAAATAACTCTGGTAGGAGATGGATACCCTTTTAGCTAAGGGAAAGGGGGGGCCTGCTGAGGCTGAATTTAACAAAACCAGACTTGCCCACAGACTTGCAAGCGCTCGCAGAGTGGATTTTTAATGCTGCAGGTGACATTGTTGCTGACTGAAGAATGTTCATCAAATCAGAAAACTGCTGATAAGCTGCCTTTCCCAAAAAGGGATCTCATGAACTTCTGTAAATCTCTGCCTTTCATCATACCCTGGGAGGTGAGGTAGAGGACTTGTGACAGATAATATTTAGGTTTTTCTTCTATTTGTTAGGGTAATTGAATGGAGCTATAGAGACAAAAAAATAAATCTCAAAACATCTCCTTTATGGTCTATTAAAAACTGAATGAAAAAATGAAAATAATTGAGCCCACACTTCCCCTTGAATATTTTGATACACCACTGAAAAACTGTGAGTATATTGGAACATGAGTATGTTGACTGCTGTCACCCAGGTTCCACTAAGAGCATTCTAACATTGATCTGAATATATCATAAAGAATGTGATATAACCAAGTCATTTAGCAGTATTTGCAAAATATATCTAAGACCAAATTCGTATAAGGCCTGCTGGATTTTTATAAAATCAGTCTTAAAGAATATATTGCCTCTCTTGTTGCTCAGTTTTTCAAACTGTTTTGATTTTTTTTTTTTTTAATTTTTATTTCTAAACCAAAAGACTGGTATAAATAAGTAAGAACTTTGTTGAAGTTTACATTAATTCCATTTGTAAGCCAAATATTTGGGGTGTTTTTCCAGAAGAGCTTGATTTTGGCTTACATAGCTGTGGATTTTCATTGTATTTTTGTAACTAGATTCAGACTTTGGAACTTCAGGACTTTCTTGTATGAGATTGCTCATTGCTGGGTTATGAAGTAATGTAATTTCTTCTATTTTTGCCCTATGAGAGAAATACCTTTTTAGCAAAAATATCCCGTTAAATAATCAGGTGAGAGGTCTAGTCTTTCTCCCTGTACATACGCAGTTTATCTTAACACTTCCGCTTTGCATACAGGGAAAAGGTTCTTAAAGTACATAATATCATGCATAACTAGAATTTTTTTTTTTTTTAAAGCCTTTAATATTTCCTGGAAATCTTATTATTGTCTTTTTATTACACTACCACTAATAATTTGTTAGTACTACAAAAATAGTACTTTTTACTATCTTTTTTCTTCATTTGGTTGTGGATGGATTTAATGCCTCTGATACATTCTTTTTAGCATGTATCAAATGTGAGCATTGCTTTTGCTAATGCTCTGATCACTGAACCAAAGACCAGACCGAAATCTCTGATCGGTGTTGTACACTTCACAAAGTTGCATATAGGGCCCCCAACAGACGTGTATGATTCCTGGAGAGAGTAGTATGAATGTTAAAAAAGATACTGTGGAGTAGTGGTATATCTTACTATTTAATTTGGATGAGTGAAGAATATATTTTAGAAAGCATTGCTGGGCAATATGCTCTGTTGTCTGTCAAGGAATAATTAGAATGGGGGATATGGGTAAGAAAGACTTTCTATAATCTAGACCTGAATAGTTTAGTTATATGTCTTGAGCACTATTGAACCTTCAGAGTTGTTGAACAGTAAAGATAAAGAAAAAGATAAATTGAATTAATTTATTTTGAATTTATATACATGCCTCTGCCTGCATTAATATTAAGTTCCATCCAAAATCTAAATAAAAAGACTGTAATCTTAAAAGTTCTCTCAATAGCATCAGCAAATCATTCTTGTTTACCCTACACGCTAATAAAACAGGAACATGACACTCCCGAAAACAAGATTGCAAAATACAGAAAATGTGGTCTGACATTTTTTTTCTCCCCAAAGGAGGGACTGCCACTAACTAAAGTATTTCTTATGAAAGCTCGATTGCTTAAGATGCAGAATATTAAGAGAGAAAAACACTTTAGGACACAGCCATGTCACCAGCTGTTACTCACCCTTAATGAAATTGTTAAGTGATATTCTTCATAAATAGGTCAGAGAAACTTTTGAATTGTGAAGAATGTTTTATCTCATTCTTTGAAATGTTTGTATTAAATTTAGAACTGGTAATTCATTAAGCTCATTAGCTCTGACTAGGAGAGTAGAGCGGTATCTAGGATATAGATTTCAAGGCTTAAAAATGTTAGTGCTTACAAATAAACATGAAAGCAATGTGTGGAGAAAAAATATGGGATCATAATATGTTTAACTGTTTTTTGAGCGTGGCCCTCTGGATTAATTAAGAACATTTTCTATATTCAGACACTTCAATATAAACAGAATACATTATGACTTTTGGTTAACTCTGTTTTAATAGGGAAAAAGAGAATGCATTATGATGAATATAGTAGAAACTGGTTGAGACTATATTTTGTTGTTTACTTTTTGGCTTCAATTAAAAGGGGAGATAATCACTGAATTTTACAGGATCCCAAGTCTAAATTATATTATTGATTGACATTGAATTTAAGCAGTAAAGGTTTTATATACATATATATGCACACACATTTGGATGACCTGTTCTTTGTTGCAGATTTGTAAGGAAAAAATATGTTATTGAGCTCTGCCAAACACTTGATTTGTGATGAAGCTTTTATTTAGTCTTAATAATTTCTGGTATAATGTAATAACTTTCCACAGTTAAGTCACAGATGGTTATACTGGCTTCCTCCTAGAAAAGAGGGAGCTGGAGGAAATCAAGGACTCAGTACTTGGGAACAATTGAGGAATCAAGAGTCCGGTATTGATGTATCCTTGCAGACATGGAGATTTTAGAAATAGCCTTTAAGGCAGTTTAAACATACCTTATCTATTATGTGCTCATTCCCAACTATTTTCTAGTTTCTTTATTGACTTGTTTTGTGGCCTTAAGGTCACACTTCTGTAAAATGGGTTTAAGAGCACCTAACCAGTTAAGCAAATCTTGAGATTCCTGATGGAAAAGCCATAATTTAAAATGATTGTTTTCAGTTGGTTAGATTTGAGGTAAATTTGCCAATGTGACATCACGAAGAAACACATTTATACTGGAGACGTTTAGAGTTTAATAGCTGTACATTTCAAATACGCAGCGTTCAGAGGATTACCAGTTTCCACAGAAAAGCAGTGCTGAAAGAAACCAGGTTTCCAAAACTCCATCCAATGCATGCTGTGCATTCCCAGTAATTAAATTTGTTGGTCCATCTTTACCTGCATGTATTTGAATTCTCTTTGAATTTAAATCCTTGAATTATTATTTTTTTAGGTAAATCGTCATAGAAGAAATCATTCCCAGCATAACTTAATGCTTGCAGACATCATTAGTACACAGGACCACACGGTAAGCAATTGCTCTATAGCACTGATAAATCACTCTTCTTATTTTAAATGTTTATAATGTAAATGTTACACACGCTTTACTAAAGAATAAGTACATAAGGCTTTGGATGCCTCAAGATGTTAAGGGATTTGAGGTACTTTGATTAATCAATAAAAAGAATAATTTTAGAAGGTACAGAGCAATTTATAGAGCTTGACTTTGCTGTTAATTCAATTGTGCTAGACTGATGTTTCATCAGTATTAATACTCGGTATAAAGGAATGCGACCATGTCTTTGTACTGTCTTTGCCCATATTAAGGTGTTTTTAATATTAATATCTATTTTTATAAGTAAAAGTGCTCATGAAATTTAATATAATTTTCCCTGACATTAAAAGAATCTAGAGGGAAGGAGAAGCACATAGGTTTTTCTATCAAAAGAAAATGAATATACAAATATAAGTTCATCAAAGAAATGTTGGTATTAGTGGTACTTTTACCTACACAAACTTTTCAGGATTAGGTTCAGAAGCTTTGAATTCTTTGAACTAAGAAAATTATAGAACCTATATGTGATAGTGATAATTACTTTTCCTTATAGTTACTAATACTTTTAGCTCATGACAGTCTTTTTTTTTTTTTTTTATGATTTAGAAACACAAATATTTATATATATGTACTCTGATCTTTAATATTCTTTTAAAAATTAAATAATAATAGAATAAAAAAAAAAAAAAAACACAAACAAAACCCCACACAATAATTCAGTTTTCTGTTTTCTATGTTAATTCTTCAGGGCATTTGGGGTCATTTTTTTCAACCTTCCATATGCTGAAAAGGTGCAGGAAGGGCAGCAGTCTAACAACAAATGATGATATTTATTGAGACAGAAAGACAGAACATATCATTAGGCTTTATTTGGTATTTTTGTAAAACTAATATCATCCATTTGCAGAAGTATTGTAAACTGATCTTGAGCTGCCTTGGAAGTATTTTTTTGAGAACAAGTAGAACAGAAAAGGGAATATTAACAAATGGTAAGCAAGAGAAATATAGCACCCCGAACAGAGGTTATAAAAATATTGGGGTCATCCTAGAAAACTTTTTATTTATCTTTGTGATAAAGTTGTTTTGTAATTCCATAAATGCCCTTTATACTAATTACAGAGAAAACAGTGTACATTGTCAAGTAATGAAGACCACCTGTACTAATTCAATTAAAGCAATACATAAGAGTTACTTTGCTTAGCACTGAGAGGTCTCATACCAACTGAAGTTCTTGTATTTTTGAACTGTTTAATTTTGAGCTGTTTAATTAAAATCAAATGGCGGATTTGAGCTATGTAATTTAAATCAGGATATTTATATGCCCAGCATTTGTCACTGGATTTTATATCCTAGTTTAAGCCAATTATAAGGAAAATACAACTGAGCATTTTCATCTGGAAACACATTAATTTTTTAACTTCCCAAAACGTGAGAATAGAGGTGATTCAGATCTGATGTTGAAAATCACATTTGCCTTTAGTTTTGGATTGGTTAAAATAATAGTTTGGGAAGGGTTGTTGGTAAACTTTGAGTGCATGAGCTTTTGGGTCTGGTTCAGAGAAGCAATCAGCAGCTTGAATGTTTAGCCAATGCTCCTCCCAATTTCTGTTTCCAGATGGGTAGAAATATTAAAAATAATTACCTTTCTCATAAGTTATTTGGCATCTCTGGCCCTAGCCAAGCACCAGAAGCTTTATGTTACAAGAATTAAGGGTTAGAAGGGGAAGAAAAATATTGAAAGATGTAAAGTAAGTTTGATTAAAAAAAAAAAAAAAAAGTAAGTAGGTAGAGATTGGGATTAAGTCTTATTTTAGCTGTAATAAATCATCCATCCATTACTAGATAAATAGTGACATGACTGTGCATGACAATCCCTATATACTTTATCTCTGGGTTTTCTATGGCAATCATAAGCATGACAGGAATTTGCATGAGATAAGTAAAAATTATAGAAAATGCACACACTAATCCACATGTACCCATCTGAGAATGTCACTGAAATCATTGTCCACAGACCTACAGACCTTTTCATAGGTACAGACACGTATGTACACAGTATCTATTTCATTATATGCTGTATACAAGCAACAGACAAAATCTAAGGAAACAGTTAAACATACCACACTGTTAATATCTTGATATTTTCTATAATCAAAATAACAGATACGTTTGATTTGAAAATCCTTATGTTGCATGTTAAAGCATGTTTTATTGTTATTTAATGACTTTGCAGACAGCAAAATTCTATTGAAATTGTTACAAAATTTCCTTGTGACATAATTTACTATAAAGACCTCATGGAGTTTCTAATATCCGAGTCAGTCACTGACTCAGTAGTGTTTGAAAGAGAAAACAAACACACGAGGAATCACAGTTTTGCTTCTGTTCCCATTATCAACACGGTTGGGACATCCTTAGCTAATAAGACATGATGAGATGGCAAGTCAATGGGTTTGGCTGAAGACCTGTCATCTTGTTTTGTTTGGTTTTTAATTTTTAAATATAAATTTACATAGCCAGAAACAACCCCTATCCCAAATCATGTGTTACAGCTGTACAAGGGATTTTTCAGCAGATCACAGGTCACAAAGGGTCTGCAAAGGCCTTTGGCTTAAAGAGACTGTTCAGTGGTGTGGAGCAGCACAAATCGAGAGAAATGCAAACAAAAGAGCAGGCCTAGGAATTGCTTCTAATATGCCAGAACTGAAGCACAACGTTGGTACCCTACAACCAGACATCACAGACTGGTGCATACTGGCACAGTCCTTGCCCTGTTCTGGTGCCACAGAAAGGGGACCGGGTTTCAGTAACAGCAAGGGCAGGGTATGGGATCTACAAAGGTGATGTCAGGTTGCTAATATCACACATTGCTCGGTATAGGTAATAGCTAAAGGCTTTGCCTTTTTGGGTTATTTTGGAAAACGCACAACACAGCTGTGTTTTCCTTTGTTATAGTTCCCATTTCAACTTGTATGTCAAGAATTGAAAGAACTGCCCAATCTGGTTTTCTGCACCATACTATGAGATCATTTAGTTCATCTGGAAACTTGAAGACAAGTTCTCCCTGCACACGGATGCGCACAGCCCACTGAAGTGTGACTTTTTAAGGGCTGTGAGGGGTGAGTGCCTCCATACCAGAGCTCATCCGAAAGGCAGCACCACTTAAAATCATGATGTGTTCTAGCATCTCGCATGAGCCTTCTTTTGGTGCTGACTCAAAGCAAAATGTGGCATGTATGAAAGCAGTGTAACTTTTCCTGTTGTACAGACATTTAATGTTTCTCTGACATTGGTTATCCCTAAACATGACTACCTTTAGAAGGTAAGAAGCAATAAGTTTTTACAGAAGTATGGTATGTCCCTCATAGCTATCAATGAAATATGGACTTCTGCGACACAATATATGAAATGATACCTTGACATAATTTACTTACAATATATTTTCAATTAATTGATTTTTTGCTTATAGTTAGAAACTTTGCTTGCATTAAAATAAGTTTCTTCTAACTTAACAAATATTTTATTTTTTTTTAAAGATGAATTCTGTGTACTAAGTGACTTTAAACTTTGTTTGGAAATTTTCAAAAGAACTGACTGTATCAGAAAAAATATGCGACTAAACTGAGAATTAATGTCAAAATTCCCCCCCACTAGATTAGCTAGATGCAGACTCTTATGTGTGTACTTAGTGGATTTGTTTGTCTGAATTAATAACATGGTTATGACATGTTTTTTTCCCTTTCTTGTAGGTAGTGGAGAAAGAAGGTTATCTTCTAAAAGCTAAAATAGCAGATGGTGGCAAGAAATTAAGGTATTATATATGAATACTACAGAACTTTTTCGTTGCAAAATTCAGAGTCGATGAATGTTTACCTATATATAGCTACAATTGTTGCTAATTGCTATTGTTTCAGTATTAAGCCAATGCATGATTACAGTCCCAGAAACCAAGTGACAGCAGTCAATGGGCTCATTGCTTGTAATGAGCATGTGTCAATATTAGCCTCTATATTATATATATTATACACATTTTAAGGATCACCTTAAGGCACTAGGCAAACCAGTAACATATTTTCCAGTGGACAGATTTTTGGTGCTGTGTGCTTGAAGGGTCAAGGATGGGATGTAGGAACCACCCATGTGGTGACGCCACAGGGATGCCAAGACAAGATTATCAAAAGTGGTCAGCACTTACTCACTTAGCACTGTTTATGTTGAAAGTAATGTGAATATTAATGCTGCCTTTTATGGAAGGGTTTGGTATGGTTTCCTGTGTTTAGGTGCCTGTGAAGTAGTAGCAGTGATGTGACCGACACTGTATGTTACCAATGAGAATGAGACAATAATGTGAAATATTACATTTTCTGCCTCAAGAAAGGAGCCTAGTAATAAGTTCTCATGCCTGTATAGTGCTAAACAATAAATGCTGGTTGAAAAGGGAGTCTGGAGGTCACCTAGCCCAACGTCTCACTTGAAGCAAGGACATAGTCCACACTTGGCCAAGCTTGCTGCAGCTGGGTGCCGTCAGAAAATGGTGTAACTTGCATTTTGGGAAAAGGCACTGAAACCAGTACTGCTCTATCCGCCACTTTGGACACTGGCAGAAGCTCCTGCAGAGTGTGTGCGTGAAGGTGCTCAGACGAGGAGGGAGTTTTACCTTCCCAGTGCACGGGGGCCCCTTAGCACAGAGCATCTCTGTGGCTCGGCATTGCGTGCCGGCTCGGCGTGGGCACAGGGAGGAAGCAGCGTAGCTCGGCCACTTGTATTTTTAAACAGCCCTGAACAATATCGTATTTTTAAATAGCCTCAGAGATTGCGAGCAGGGCTGAAGCTATAACGTGCTGCCATCAGGTGTCCGTTTGACAGAATGCAAATGCGTCTGCAACGCTCGGGGTGCCTTTTGCAGCCCCCACGAGTCGGGTCGCACCCTACTGTTTCTTTCACTTCCTCAATGTCTCCCTCTTTATTTTTTTTTCTCCATTAACATGTCGTAAAAAATGCAGTCCTATTTTCTTCAGATGTACTAATCTCCTTCACAGAGAGTTTCTTTCACTGTTGCCTCTTGTTGGCCATATTTTAGGGATGATCGTTAGATCATGCTGGGTGAAATCCTGCCCACTCTGAAGTGAATGCAAGTTCCTCTGATAATGCCAGTGGCGTTAGGGCTTCATCTGTAATATTGGTTATGCTCCTTAAGCTGACAGCTGAAACATATTGAATAGGAAAGTCATTAATAGAAAAACTGCCTGTTATGCCTGATGTGTGGTTTGATGAGATATCGAGTGCAGCAGAGCTTTGAGATGGATCTGGAAGTGAGCATCATGAAGAAGACAGACAGGCTTTTAAATTCAACAAAGCCAGGTTTTGCTAGAATAAAAAATGGGTGTGTTTGAGTTAGGAGTACCTAAATAGAAAAAACTCAAAGAGACTAGGAAAGACTAAAGAGAGGAAAAAGGGTTTCTAACAGCTCCTCCCTGGGCCCTCCATGTCCTTACAGTCATCTCCCTCCTTTTTAATGCACTGCAGTATACACGTGAAACAGCCTGAGTGCCACGCGCCTTTTCAGGTTTCTTCTAAAATGTTCAGATTTGGGATTTACATTCACATAAAACATAGTTGGGTAAATGAGTATTTTTTGTAAATATCAGAGGTCGTGACCCCCAAATTGGAAAGTCAAACTTGAGATGTTGATCTTAAAATTGTTTTCTATCGGATCCATTTGTTTATGATTATGTGGTGGTTTGAAGCATTACATTAGATGTAATATAATAGCATTTTCTTCTGAGTTGATTATTATGTTCTTCTGCATCAGGGGACACTATTTCATATATCTGTGTATTTTGAATCCTCCCTGGTCCCAGAAGTTTGGCAGGTCTCAAGGGCTGTATTGTGAACTCCTGATGTTTAATGGTTACTTAAGCCTCTTTCAGATATCGTCATTATTTTCCTTGTTCTCCCATAAATTTTTAATTTCAGGAAAGGAGAAAGTATTTAGAACCTTTCAAAATAGACCTTTTGCTGAGCTCTGTATAGTCAGATTGAATTTACATTCAATCCTTCTTGGTTCTAATTTAAGTATTAGTTACCAGAAGGACACCAGCTACTTTGGAGTCCTCTAAGTATATGTGAACTTCAAGCATGTGTGAATAATCCCACTGTTTTCTTGTGGTTAAGGGACCATGGTGGAAAAGGAACATAGTTAGGCTTCAGAACATGAATAAGGAGAAAGAAGGCTTTCAAACTTTGTTAGGTCACGTTCAGGTATAATGCTTGGTGAAATTCCTTCAATATTGGTGGAAGTGCATTCCCGATAGTGACTTTAGACCATTTTTGCTTCTGACATGAAATAATTAAAAACCAAGTCTACAAATGGAGCACCTCTTACCTCCTGATTGCAAGGCTTACTCAATTTTTTCTTTTTCTTTTATTTTATTTTTAAGGAAAAACTGGTCCACATCTTGGATTGTTCTCACTGCTCGGAAAATGGAATTCTACAAAGAATCCAAGCAGCCGGCGCTGGCCAACCTGGTAGGCAATCAACCATCCAATATATTCAGCTTCCTTGCAACTGTTATTTCAGTATAAAAAGCTTGGTGTTTACATAAGACAAATTCAGACTGAGCTGGCAACCTTCAAAGGTTTGAGAGCAGCTGAAGGAAAATGCCTTGATAAAGTTTTAATCAGATACAGTGTATGAGAAGAAATAGGACTTAGCATGTCCTTTATTAAGAGGTACATTTTGAGAATAATTGCAAAATAAGACAAATGGTGAGTGACTATCCAGTAATGTGAAGGTAACACTTTAAATTAAGGTGCCATTTATAAATGCTTTATTCTTATTTATGAAAATGATCACTAAATGCAGCTACTTCCTCAAATAATGTATTATAAAGTATGTTATAAAATGCATTAGTAATAAATGCGTAACAGATGATGCGATGAGAATCTGTTGCAAAGGATATTGTGAGACGTAAATTGTATTAAACCATGTATGTGCATCTTTAATACATGAATTTAAGTTGTTATCTACCATCCTATAAAGTGGCTTATACATTAATAAATAATAATAAATTATTTATAAATGGCACCTTTAATATAGGGTGTTACCAAAGCAGAAAACATTATAAGTTAGCAAAGTGATTTTTTATCGTAGTATAAATGTGACATCTACCATATCCTGCTAACCTTCCTGAATATTTCTATGACTCCATCTAATGCAGCTAATGTAATTTCTGTAGCCTGTAGTTACTACAAAGTGAAATTTGCAGTACCTTTTTATTGTGCCCCAAGGAAAAACCACTGATCTTAATCTTCGGAGATGTGACAGCTACGTTGCGCAAGCAATAACGGCATGTATCCCTTCGGTGCTAGTCACTGCCGAGTTTGAGCCTACGAACCTGAATGTGGGCAACAAAAGGGGAATTCGGTAAATGTGTGACACTGTGGGCAGTGAAGGGACAGATTTGACAAAGCCCTGTTGTGAAAGGCTCTCAAGGCCTGATCAAACCTGCCAAATCTCATTGACATGATGAGTGGTCACAAAGGTGCTCTCTTTGGCAGAAGTCACAAACAATAAGCTATTTTTTTTTTTTTTCCATGGCAGGTGATACAAACCTTTTCTTCTATATATTCTTGATCTAACAGTGCTACCTGACATAAAATCATCTTTAAAGAACATCTTTCCATGCATTACTTTTTTGGAAAGAAAGTGAAGGTTGAACAAAAATAAAAATAATAGATGAAACAATAAAAGTAAGTAAAGGGAGAAATCTGGCACTTTCTGCTTGTGTTTGTGCTAGTACAGATGGAAAATACTACTTATCTGCAGCCATGAAAACAGTATATCTTGGATTGAAGATGATTTCAGAATCATGTTTTCCTTAAAGTTGAATTGTATGTTATTTAAAAAAAAGTCTCAGGTAAATGTATTAGAAGTAATCTTATAATTTACTTGCACTTCTACCATCTGCCTCTTCTCCTATCTCTTTTCAAGCCCTCAACCAAATCCCAGGAGATAAATGGGCCAGTGGAAATTCAACGCACAGGAGACTTTCTCTGAGACTCCTACACATGGTTAAAATTCCCATTAGCTCTTTAAGCGTTTAGTTACTAAAGCATACCTGCCTGGAGAATGGGACTCTGGCCCAGATCTCAATCTGTTTAACTCAAAAAATTAAGGTGTGTTTTGAGAAGGGATCCTCTCAGAAGTCAGTTCCTTTCCCTGAAATCTCAGTCCTCACCAGTGCTCAAAACTGGTGAAATAACAGCTACTGCCTCCTGTGCTAGGATGGACACAGACATATCAATCCCACATTTTGCTCGTTATGGGGAAAAAAATAAAAGTGGGGGTATTTTTTTATTCTGTGCTAGATCTGAGCACTGCAGATGTGAACATAATGTTCACTAGGGGAAAAAAAGCTGATAAAGATATATTCTGTCTGATGCCTATAACTTATATGCAGTGGTAAATAAACATTGGGCAAAGCTTGAAAACAACAAGAGCTGTCAGTATTCAAAATCTTATAACCCAATTTCCTAACCCCAAATTTCACACATCAAAAAAAGCTAAACTTGCATGTTGATCTCATTTGATAAATGAAATGCAATGCTTATTTACTTTGTAAACCATTAAACCAGATATAATTTTGATAGTGGAAAGGAAATAATACAAAAAGGATTCATTAGAAATCATTTGTTTACTGATTTTTTTTTTTTTTTGATTTTTTTTTTTTTTCAGATGTAGTTTATTTTGGAAAAACAGGAGCTCAACCGTTAAATAATGCAATAAAGGCAATGCTCATTCACGATAATATGACTTATAAAAAAAGCATTATTTTTAGCAGGAAAATGATGTGACTTAACAAAAAGATTACTGTTCTTTTGTATTATAAAGATATTAATTCATTAATTATTAACTATTAAATATGGTACATGAAGTGAAAATTTAGAATAAGACAGCATCATTATAAGAGGGACGTTATTGCACAATAAAGGCAACAGGAGAGAGGGAAATGAAAGCACATTCTAATCATACCCCTTTTTCTGATGATAGGGTAACATTTAGAGGTGATTTAAAGTTATATCTACCAAAATCTTTAGTAATATTCTAATGCAAAGAACTAGTAATAGCTAAAAGGAGTTTTAGATGTTCCTTTGTACGATTGTAGATGTAGGACTCACTATAACAACTTTCCTATTGATTTGCATGGAGGAGTCTGGGTTCCAGAGCTTTCTGGTGAGGCTAGTGACAATATTGGATATTATTATTAGCAATGGTTAGAGCACAACAATTAAAGCACACAGAGGAGAGATTCAGAAAATGAGCTTGTTTACAAATATTACTGAAAATGCAAGTTTGCATCCCATGTAGCTAAATCATTATCTTTTGCTGCTGCCTTGATCATTTGTGGTCATGCTTTTGATACTTTTTTTTTTTTTTTTAATCATTCATATGAATATAACTTGTTTTGTTGTTTGTTTGGTTTTGTTTTTTTTTTTTTTTTTTGTTTTTTGTTATTTATTTTAAATGAAGGACATTGTGATCTAACCGGATCACAGCTCCATCCTTTCTTACCAGAGCTAAATTCTATTATCACTTGGTCTTTCCGACCAAGAAAAAGTACTCTATTTATTCCCTGAGATAGTTTATTCAACAGAGGTTATTTTAACCTCAGGTTATTAGCCCATCTGCAAAGTAATTTAGTGAGTGAAAATGCTGCTGAAATCCATATTCATGTTTAGGAAGATTTCATTGTAGCAGACACTTGTATCAATTTACAGCGTAACCCCCCTCCAACAACATTGATGTAACATAATTGCTCTGACTGCAAAACACAAAGCAAGGACGCAGAGCTCTCGGGCTCTCCCAGTAACCTTAACTCACTCTCTTGCAGTGTCTCTGGGTAATGCGTAAACTGGGAAGCAGGCTGTGAAACAGGACCGTGTTTAGGCCAGAATTAATTCTGAGGCAATTTTCCTGGGGTCCCTACGGATTTAAGCAGGGCTTCCCATAGTGTGGCCCCCCACCCCGGTGCAGAAGGGCTGATGCGCAGGGTGGGCAGTTTCAGGATTGATGGATCTGAAGGGTTTTGCATGTAGCTTTCATCAGAAGTTTGATACGCTATGCCGTACCCATGAGTCTCATACGGTGTTCGTAGACACCTCATTCCTCATTGTGGGCAGAACTGCTAAATTCTCCACAAGAGAAGTTTTCCAGTTGAATGATTATTGTATGTAGCAGAAGGGTGTTCGTCTTTCCAACACCATAAGCTTGCATCCCATCCTTTCTGAAAAAGGAGATACACATACTTATACTTTTCGTCTGCTTATTACAAAATCAGAGCTGTAGACAAATTCCAGATTACTACAACAACAACAAAATTAAACTGTGTGTGCATTAAATGCACAGAGGAGACCACGACCTGTTGCTATATATGTTTTTGTACAATCATAGAAATTAGAGATGGTAAAATCCTATAGAGCTCACTATTCCACCTTCCTGCAAAACTTCCTTGGGCTTTCCATTGCTTTTTCTTACTTCAGAGTGAAATGTCATGGCAGTCTTCCTGAGGAAAATATTCCGTAGCCCAGTATCCCTCCCTATCAAGAAACTATGTCGCGTTTCTTTATATATGTTTTAATCTCTTCTTTTCATCTCATTATGTGTTTCAAAATTTTCTCTACTCTCTCTGATGATAGAATAAAGCTGCCTTTCTTTGTTAAAATATTTTCAGACTCAAACTAGCCTTTTGGATAATTTCTTCAAAGAAAGCAGGGTGACCCACTAGACATGGCTGTGTTGTGTGTTCATGACGGGTTACTGAGCTGCCTGCTCTGTGCGGTGCAGACCTGGTCATTGCATGGGGTCGTTTCATGGAAGAAACTTCCCTGGGGTATCTCCTGACCAAGGATAGTGATCGAGTCAAAGGAAGCACCATAGCCCTATTTATAAAAGTATAGTACTGGGATACTTGAAAATTAATTTATCTTTTTCCCTCATTTGAATATTTGTTTGTACTAATACGTTGGTGTTGTCTAGTTTTTGTTTCAACTTTGTCACTTTTGCCATGTAAATATTAACTGATTAAATATCATGACATCTTTGTAAAATCAAGTATCAACACAGATTTGATCTGTTATTAAAAATTCAGAATTATTAAGTTCTTGTTAGGGTTTAGGCAGGAAGTCTGAGGCAGAGTTGGGGAAAAAAATCCAAACCCTGCTCTTTCAGTGGTTTAGCCACAAGAACATCCTTCTGTTTTGAACAACATATTTCTTCCATTAAAAAAAAAAAAAAAAAAAAAAAAATAGGAACAAAGACACACAGAACTGTCAGTTTTAAAGGAGTTGAACCGTGGTGGTTTTATGGTTTGGCAAATGGAGAACATAATTACAACTCCAGTACTGAAAATTGCCAGAGACTCTGGCTACAAATTACTTGACCAGGGTACCACACTCTGCTTCTTTTAACCTAAATAGGTCCTTTTCTACCTGTCCCAAAAGTGCTCTGGAGAACACACGCTTTTTTTTTTTTAGCCTTTAGTAACAACATCAGAGAAATTCAGTGAGCAATCTTTGGAAAGCTGATTATGAGATTGATGTTGGACTGGCCACCATTAACTCCTGTTAAGTCTGCTGTGTTTATCACCAATGCCCTTTTTTAAAGGTAAAATGGCTTAAAAACAGAGGAAAAAAAAATGCATCGAGCTGATTAATTACTTTATGTGGATATTACCCCATATGTTACCCAAAAGGGACTTATTAGCTCTTTATACTGTTAACAGTAGTATTTTTATTGTCTGGGATGTGCAGTAACCTAATCTACAAAGGCTACTCTAAACTACCTGGGCTTTGCCAGAACTGCTGCACAGGCAGAGTCCCCGGAGAAGGAGCTTAGATGGCAAATGAGGATTATTGTGCTTTACATCAACTCCCAGCAACGTAAATGATACAGGCAGACAAATCTGCTCTTTGAATTATTTGCATCCATACGGAGGAGCTGAGGAGACAGAGCTGTGTCACTCCAGGATGCACGGACTGACATTGCAAAGTAGCAAACCGTGTGGAGCTACCCTAGTGTTGAGCTCTTTCAGGGTGTCACACATGCCCCCAAAGCCTTTTCTTTAGGAGCTAGAAATTATAATTTTTTTGGAGAAAGGAGATAGCTTGCCTTACAGATATGATGTATGTTCTTGTCTAATTTCTGTCCTTTCCAGCTGCATCAGTTTAAATTTGTATTTAGAAAACCCACAAAATTTTACCTTTAAATGCAAGGGCTTTTCAAGAGGTTTTGCAAAGTAAGCATTTCAAATGTCTGGTCAATGTGTATTCATTTGTGTTTTGATCTATTGTATGTTATATTAGACTCTTTTTTCAACTATCTAATTATTTTAAAAATTACGTATCTAATATAGGAACCTTATTTCTGAGTTAAGGCACCTCAGGAGTGGTTATTTTATAATACTAGGGGCTAATGAACTCTTCTCAGTAATACCAGCAGCTGTGCTACAATAATCTGTCACCTGAACTTGATCTATTCTTGTTTTATCTGAAAATTGTCCCCATTTGTGAAAAGTCAGGGCATATTCATGGATAACTTTTTTTTTTTTTTTTTTTTTTTTCCAGAAACCAGGGTATAAACCTGAGTGTGTGGATTTGTGTGGTGCTCGCATTGAATGGACCTCAGAGAAATCCAGCAGAAAGAATGTCTTTCAGGTAAGAGTCAATGCATGCATTTCATTGCTCATTTGAGTATAAACTCTGTTCAGAGGTAGGTTTTATTTCCTTGGTTTTAATAACTAGAGACTGATTTAATGAAGCATTTTTCTTACCGATACAGGAGTGTAACATTTTATCAAGCATCAGTTTACTATTTTTCTAAGAGAAGGATTTCTGATGACTGAGTCTCCTAAACACTTGAGAACCTGTTGATTTATTGATTAATGCTCTATATTCCATTTGTTTTAAAACTTAGTAGGTAATTGCTTTGGGTTCAGGCCTAGAATCTTGACCTAAAGGACTTCCATAAACACAACTTCTTCAAACTGCTTATACAAGCATTGCTCCAACACAGTGCGGTTACTCTGTTTATTTTTATTGCTGTTCAGGGTCCTCAGATGGTGATGACCCAGGTTCATTTCTGGAAGGGGAGGGGAGGATTTTGAAAGCTTGCCTCTGTCAGGACAAGCATAGAAGGACATGTATTTCTCACAGGACTGCTTTTCATTGATGGAAAATAATATTATTTAATTACTTCATCTAAATCCCATTGAATAGAAAGGGAGGATCAAGGCCCAAGAAGATGAAAGGATGAGAAAAGCGTTACTGCAAGGTTAACATTCCAAGATCTAGGGGCTAAAATAGTTTATTGCAACATCTTCAGATTTTAGACATAATCCAGCTCCCATGAATATCAGTAGAAAGGTTTGGTTTTTTTTTTTTGTTTCACTAAAAGTTGCATCAAGCCACATCAAAATATTATTCTCTATGAACCGAGTTGTTTCCCAGAGTTCTAATGTTAAGAATTTTTAACAATACAAACAATAAAGGAAAGAGAGACACAGAAGGGAATATGTCAGGGTCAAAATACTGTTAGTTACCAGATAGTCCTTTGGCATCATCACCGATGAAACATGCTGGAGGAACCGACTGTGCCTGGGTCTGGAGTTTAAGAAAAAACACCACCACACACAAAAAACCCACTAAGGGACTGTACGTGGCTTCTAGAAAATAAACTTCTTTGGGTCAACTGGGTGTTACAGAGACTTTTTAAAGGTTTATTTTTCTAGGCATCTTTCTAAAGTGCATGCAATATTTAGAAATATTCCTCTTCTTCAAGACAGTGAGACTTATGCTTCTATACCCCCCACATCCTTCAGGTTTTCTTGAGACAACACTTGGAGCTTTGTCATTTCCTAGGTATTTTTAGAATAAATATTTTGGTTTTGCTGTCAGTCTTCAGCTTTTTCACTTGGAATGTGATTAAGTATAACCTTAGCCTTCACTCCTGCAACCCCCTGAGCACACTGACAGGTCTTCTGAGCTTGTAGGGTTTATTTCTCATTTTGCAATAAGCAAAATTTCTGTTTGGGAATGCATATTGGAGTGGTGATTCATTGCAGCTAATACATTTCCAATGTAAAGACAAATGAAGCTCTGTTATTGATTTACCAAACCGGTTGTATGAAGACTTTGCAATGCATTTTCTTATCACTTCTGTTAGCGTGAGGTGTAACTCCACTGAATCAGAATAATGTGAGAAAGGAAACTCATGCACTACTGTTTGAACCCATTAAAACGTGTCTTCATCAAGCCAATAAGTGAGTGGGAGAGACATTAAGAAGTAGGAGCATGGGAGGAAGGACATATGTTAAGACACATTTTGAAAAGGGATGGAGCATTGTTTAGACAGAGAGCTACAAGAAGATTATGCCAGATGGTAGGAGCGAAAGAGGAGAAGGCTTTGGCATCAGTAGTGGTGACATTTTGGGAAAGGAAAGGACTGAACGAGACTGGTGCTACATGAGCAGATAGAGTGGGAAGAGGACTAGAGAGGGAGCGAAGATTTATGAGATAGTCTGGAGGGAATCCAAGGCAAGTTCGAAAGCGGAGAGGTCAGTTTGTACCTGGATACTGGATATTTCAGGAAACACTTCTGATGATCTACTTTATCCCTAGTGGGTGGGAGTAAGATTAATAATATATGTCTACTTATTCATAGATTTGTTCAAATGAAAAGAACATGGGTGATTTCTTTTTTTTTCATTTATATTTTTTTGCGACCTAAATATGGATGCATCATGTTGTTATTTGATTAAATACATTAGCTGCCTAACTCTGAAATCATCAGAAATAAGTATGATTATATCTTCAAAGCATGGAAACAAAGCATAGATGGTGGGGTTTTGTTTCATTACTTTCTGAATAATAAAACATTATTTTCTGATTCAAACAGAGCAATGGTTGCTTTCTGCTAATGTGTTCTACTAGGAGTAGATGCAGAATTTTGAGTCTGATTTAGCCTGGGTGCTCAATTTGAGTACATGAATTATAGATCAGAAATAGAAAATGACTGTTGAGATTTTGGTTTGAAGAAAAAGAAAGAAATCTTGAATTTAAAATCTAAGCATATGAGAGTTAATGGATGGTAACAAGAAGATGGAGTACAGAAGTATCATAAAGAAAACTAATTGGAAATATGATCAATGCAAGAAAAAAAAGGAGGAAACTGCGAGTAAATCATATTCAGGCAGGAAGATTTGGTTTTCTGGTCTTGATCATGAGGTTTTCAGCAGTGTTACTCCACTCATTATAATTGAGCTACTCCCTGTTTAACAGGATAAGTCTGATCTGTCTCTCACACTATCCAATTTGTGCATGCAATCTATTTCTGTTCTTGATGAACGTATTATGTGTTTTTTTTTTTTTCCAAATTTTCCTTAATAGCAACTGAAAATATTCACATCTTACAAAATATAGCCTTCTGATTTTTCTTAATTTATTTAATTGATGATATAGCTAGCACCAGGTAAAAGAACTGGTTAGAAACAGCTTCACATGATGTGGGGAAACATAGCAGTTTGCAGTGAGATACCATGCTGTTTGTTCTTGTTGGCTGAATGACGCGATACACTAGGTCTTCATCAGAGGAGTGGTGAATAAAAGAAGATTTATGTTCAAATCACATGCTTTAAATATTTCTGCTAAGTGCTAGTTTGCTCTTTGGTGTTTAGCCTGAAATTTAAAGCACCGAGGATTAAAAGGATTACAACATAATCTTAAATAATCCTAAGTGTCATTTACAGAGAGATGGTTGTAATAACTAAATAAAACCATGTTAAGGGATGGCAGTGTTGTCAGTCAGCAACTGGAACAGAAACAGCGCCTATGTCACTGTCATTCTCCCTTTTCTTTTATTTGGATTAGATTGATATTGGGTAGGTGCATTTTGATGTGGGTTATCAAAAATAAAATAACGTGATTGACTGCTTTTCAATCAGTACTAATATGGCTGCTGAGGCACCAGTAATTAGGTTAGTTCACAGATTTTCTCAATATTCAATGTTTTCTACTTCTAGTAAACTTTTCAGCTGGAGGTTATTTTTTCCTCTGCTTTAGTCATCCTCTACTCTAAGTAGCCCTTTTAATTTCAAATTCAGCTCAGACATGGTGGAAAAGTGCTCTTGACCTCTGTCTTCATAATTCTGGAGCTTCATTAGCACAAAGTCTTGTGGCTGTACACTATTTCCTTGAAGAGGTTTTGGAAGATTTCTCTCAGATGGTCCAAAAAAAAAAGAAAAGAAAAATAGGAGAGAGTTGAAGAGTGCAAAAAAAGGTCACAAGCGTCATACATACGAATTGGTGAAGCTGCTTTGTTCTCTTAATAGCACTGTTCATTTCACTAACAGACATTTTTTAGTTTCTTTAGTAATATTTTTTCCCTGTTTACCAAGTTCATTTTTTAGGAAGGTTTCATATGAAGAATTTCTGGAGTGCGATGCCCTGGCTCTTGCCACAGATCTGGTGTGATATTGGGTTTTGTTTCAATACACTGCAGCTGTAAGGGGTTACTCGTTCACACACAACTAAGTGTAGTTTACAATTAGAGAAATCTGTGTAAGATGTACAGTATTTCAACAGTGAGACAGCTGAAAGTACAACTGTACCTATGTGTAATATGAAAGAATTTATCTTGCAGCTGTTTCATATATAATAACATTTATGGCACTGATCTAGGGTAACTCCCTTGTCCTTGAAGCTATCCAGCTTTGTCCAAGAGCATAATCTGAATGATAAGCTATTTTGTTCTACATACTGTAGGATCAGTATAGTAACCTGGATGCCTCCCAGGAATGTTTTAAGTCACCACTTTTTGCCATGGGAGGGATCATTTTCTTTTCCATGCTCTCTCTAGAGGAAGCACTGAGTGTGCAATGTGGAGGGGCTTGGGTTGGGATTGGTATTTGGATTTCTTTGTATATTTTTAAAAATATAAATATTTAAATAGAGGAGGCAAATTTAAAACCTTGCACTCAGCTGGATGTGGTGGTCTCTATCAGCAGTTGGAGCATGTTCCCCATCCCAAACCTGCCCCAGAGAAAGTGCTGTTTCCCGAGCCTGAGAGTGATCTTACCTGCAGCTCCTACGAGGTGCACGGTCACCTTTGCTGTCTTGGAATTAGATATGCATTAGATGGACCCACTGTGATTTTAAAACATCTGTACAGCATTTTGTCCACTTCTGGAGGTTGCTGCTGTGACTGTGGCTTAATTTCTATCGCAGGGACCTGTATATATTGTTGCCTAATTAAAAGACTTGGCCATATCACAAAGTTATTAGATGGTGTCAGCAAGACGTTCTTTAAATAATAAACTTTTAATTAGCCTAAAAAAAACACAAACAAACAAACAAACAAAAAAAAAAAAAAACAAAAAAAAAAAAAAAAACAAAATAAACTGTCTTATTCAAGTCTCCAAATTTTCTGAGGTGTCAAGCAGTTCAGACCATGACCTTTGTTTTTTGAATCCGCTGTTATAGTAGTGCTCTTACCACTATACATATCAGAACTATATTATACTTATACTATGCTATACTTGGCAGAAAAACTGGACAGGTTCTTATGCAAGTAATGACAGTAGATTTTCATTGTATATCTGTATGCTAAATTTTAATTGTTGATTAAAAAAAGAGAAGTAACAGAGAGAGTACATAGTGTA